CGATAAGAACACTTGCGATCTAACATTTGTAGAGATTAATATGAGCAGTGTGCTGCTGATTCGTTACAAGTGAGAGGAAGATATATTTGAATGCTCAACTTGCCTTGAGTGTGTCTAATCTCAGAGATGAGCAAACAGAGTACTACGAACATGGCGGAATCAAAGGTCGAGATTTCTGCTACAACTGATACTGAAAATGTGAGTTTAACAACCATGTACTCGTGCTCTGCGACTAAAAGAATTGCTGTGTAGGGAGAGGTGCTAGAGATCTCCGACAAAACACTAGCTAGTGCAGGTGTCGATGTGAAAGCAGCCCATAAGGATAAAGCATTAGCCCTGCTTTCGCACAATCACGTCGATTTGGACCCCAATTCTCCTGAAGCTAGGCGAGTTTTATGGAAAATTGATATGAGAATTTTGCCGATGATCTATGCTGTCTATATTTTCATGTTGATAGTATGTGTTGACAAGAGAAAACATTCATGGACCTGGCTAACTAATAGTTTATAGGACAAAAACAGTTTGTCTTACGCAGCTATTATGGGCATCAAAGCGGACACTCATCTTACAGCGAGCGAATACTCCTGGCTTGGTTCACTTGTATAGTAAGTCGCTTGGATCTAATATTTCGCAAAGATGCTGATGCCTACCTACCCTAGCTTCGGATATCTTGCTGGAGATGTCCCAGCCATGTATTTGATGCAACACTTCCCTCTTGCTAAAGTTTTTGGAATTGTCTGTATGATCTGGGGAGTCGTTGAGATGCTACATGCTGCGTGTAGCAATTTTGCAGGGCTCGGTACACTGCGCTTCTTCCTCGGCTTCTTCGAAGTGTACACAGCCCCTGCAGCAATCATAATCTTCGGTTCCTGGTACACGAAGAAAGAACAAGTGACTCGACTGACCATCTGGTATACCTGCTATGGATTTGCCAATGTTGTCAGCGGCTTCTGTAGCTGGGCAATCTATCAAGCAGCAGGCTTCAGATGGCAAGGCCTCTTCATTTTGTACGGTGGCATTACGAGCATCATCGGGGCCATTTGCTTTTTCTTTTTGGCTCAATCGCCTACAGATGCCTGGTGGCTTACCGAAGAAGAGAAACTCATCGCCCTTGAGAGAGTCAGAAGCAATAAGACTGGCACTGAGGTTTGGCGTTTCAACTGGTCACAACTCAAGGAAGCCTTCATAGATATCCGTTTCTGGATAATTTTTCTTCTTGATGTGTCTCTTGGATTACCACTGGGTGGAGTTAGTCTCTTCGGTATGTTACAGTGATATTTGACTGTTTCACCAGACTAAACAATTAAATAGGTCCGACCATTATTGCCAACTTCGGCTTCACCACATCCCAGGCAACGCTTCTTAATATGGGTAGTGGAGGAGCTTCAGTGGTTGTTATACTCGTTGCTTTCATCATTGCAAAGTATACCAACAGGACAATCGCGGGATGCAGCGTATTTCTTTTGTCATGTATTGGCTGTATAATGATGCTTGCGATCCCCGCAGCCAACTACGGCGCTCGCTATGGCGGTTATGTTCTCACCATACAATGTGAGCATTGAAAATTAGACTACACCGGGATACTACTTACTGACCGTACAATCTCATTTAGTCGCGAACTGTGTGCCTTTCATGGCTGCCATGATGACGGCGGGTGTCTCTGGAACTACAAAGAAATTCGCCTTCACAGCTGCTTATCAGCTTGGATATACAGTGGGAAATTTCCTCGGGCCACAGACCTACAGGGCTTCAGATGCACCTAATTACTACGTAAGCATTGAATACCATATTCATGCCGATGTAAGACACACTAAAATTTTGAAAATGTAGACTGCAAAATACACTATGTTGGCCTTCTTGATACTTTGCACCCTTCTATTTGCTAGTTGGGGCTTAACTCACAAATACTGGAATTACAAACGAGACAAGCAGGACGCCGTTGATGCTCAAAGTAGGTCTTTTCGAGAAGTTCCAGGCACACGAGCTGACGTGCTTTGAACAGATGGAGTAGCGCATGCTCACGTCGAAAACGAAGAATTTTCGGACTTGACTGACTGGCAACTGTCGTCTTTCAGATATCCACTGTAACGAAAGGATGCCATCATGGAAGGTGGGGTGACAGCCAGTAGATTCCAAGGTGTTGATGCCATGAGTGTTATGGGGAGGTTGTATGCCTATTTCTTGATATAGCGATAAGGGGAGATTCTGAATGGAGCTGTTGGCTTGGTTAGCTATAACACGTTAGCACGAATATCACACAGCACGTAACAACTTGAAACGCTCTTTTGTCAAATTCGGACTTTTGGTCATTTATCAAAGATTTCCAAGAAGAATGAGGACAACTTCAATTTCTTGATAACCGAATCCATCGATCTTGATAATCATACCCAGGGACACCAACATACAAGATTTTCTTTTCAATGACCGCAAAGGCCCCGAGTAATAACATAGAAAAAACAGTTTCTTTCAACAAGGGTATTTCCAGCGAGAATTCTTTTTAGTTCATTCGATTAAGATTGATAGTCTGATACATATTGGCATTAATTGGCTAAGTTGTAGCAGAGACCAGAACTGGAACTTGAGTAGTTTCCACCGCAATATTGCCTTTCTCACCTTTGGCCTTCAATCTAGCTCTTGGTTAGTCGTGATACTATATTATTAGAGACTGAGCTCTTACTTAAAGAAAGATGCCAGTTTTCGATGAACATAGTCACCACAGGTTATTGGCTCACTAGCCGTGGGTTAGTAGGAGGTATTTTGTTAAGAGTGCAAGAACTTACTATTTCTTAAGGGGCCCTTGGAACAAGAAGCTTTCTCGACCTTGGTTGAAGTAGGCAATCGAATAGCGATCGCGTGAAGTTCCTCTCGGAGAACAGACGCGGTGGAAAGTTGCCTTGAAACGGTCATCTGACCATGACACTGCCTCCTTATGAGATCAACTAAACAATCAGATTTTCAGGCTGATCTTACTGAGCATATCTCCAATATTGACTACAATAGGTCCAGTTTGAGCTGGTACTGGGAAGAATGTATCTCCTAAAGCACCGCTTGTATGGGATTCACGGCCAGGGCATATTTCCAAGCCTTCACCGCCATTCTGTTGGAAAAGGAGAGTAAGACAACCGAAGTCAGTGTGAGTCCCAGCTCCGAAGGTACGGGTGCCGTATTCTGAGACCTGACTCTCCGAAGGAAAATAGTGAAGAAAGCGAAGCTGATTGAGACTATCGGGTGTCAAGGCATCCATGGCTTCTGTGAAGTATTTGTCTGGAAACCCAAGAGCAATGGCAAAACATTCTACTGTACGAGAAAGTTGTCAGTTCAACCTCTAGTCCAACTAACGGAAGCAATTCGCAATTTTACTTACATACTTGCTGCGAAATCGTGGCACATTTGGCCAGAAATCTTTCTGTTGTGACTTGGAAGTCAGGGACATCCTCGTCGGGTGGCCAGTAGTTACGGTGGTTAGGTTGAATAAGAAGTGACTCTTTCTGATCGATGCCGGTTGAGATACGTTTTTGGCCCTATCATTGTGAGTCAAACTAACCCTGTAGGTTCTCGTTTACATGGCAAGCCCTTACTTTGTATTCGTAGCCGAGACTGGTTGTTGAGTCGAATTTGGTTTTTAGCTTGGTTTCTGGTGGAAGGTCGAAGAACGTCTTTGATATCGCGAATTGGGCCTGAATTTCCTCAATGGTGATTCCATGATCGACCAAGGTTAGGAATCCTGAGTTTTCTGCGGCATCGACGAGCTGGGCTATGATCTCTTGCTTCCGATTGCCAAAATCTGTGAGTTCGTCTTAGTATAACAACTCTTTTATCGAGAAAGACTGATTGACCTTTCAGCGAGATAGCCGGAACTAGTCGCTCAGCCATGTTCCAAAAATCTAAGGGTGTAGAAAAGCTGACTCTTTGAAAACGCAGTGTGGGGACTAAGATGAAAGCAAAGAAACTCTAGTGATGCTTGAAGATATATCACAATATAATACTAAACAAATTGACGGACGGCTGTAATCGATGCGATTTGTAGACTTTCAAACCCTGGATGTTTTGTGAATGAGGAGAGGAATAGTCATTACGCACCTAAACGGAGCACGTCCGTTAAATTGGACATTTTGGTTCTAGACCAGTAGTGTGGCGGGACAGGATCGGTTTGTGTTCCGTTACCACAAAGGGCCACAGGCGGGTCTCGGTCCGCGATCCGGGGTTGATGATGATCATGATCACGGAAACACAGTGTTTAGCAAAGACTCAATTGTTCTCTCCTCTAATTGTAAACCCATTCACAACTTCACACAATAAACAAGATATCTGGCCGGCAATCTTCGAGCAAATTCTATCACCAGATTAGATCACATCTGTCCTGCAGGATTAGGCTTACTGTTGGACAACGTCAATATGACTATCAGTGTGGTTGACCGACTGGTTCCGACCATTTCCCTTAAAGGTGCAAGCCACATGGCTGCATTCCTACCTTTGTTGCTGACTCTTAATATTACAGACTTCGATGCTCGCAGGGAAGAAATTACTACTCAACTCGTTGAGGCAGCCGAGAATTCTGGTTTCTTTATGCTGATTGATCACGGGATTTCGATCGAAGAAATAAATTATCAGTTTGGAATATCCAAATCCTTCTTCGACCAGACCAAAGATGTGAAAAGCAGAACTCCTTATGACCTGAACTTCGGACTGGGTTGGGAGTATAAGGCCCAGACTCGTCGGCTCACAGGGACTGACCAAAAAGAGTCTCTCTGGCTCAGCCATTCATCCACTTGGCCTAGTGAAGAAGATGTTCCTGGTTTCAGGGAGTCCACGAAGAGCTTCATGAACAAATGTGGAGTTGTATCCCATAAAGTTTGTAAGTTGACCTATACCTGATCTCAAGCCTATTCTTACAATCACCTGCTATAGTGAAATGCTTTGCCACGGCTCTCGACTTCCCCGAAGACTATTTCAAGGAGCCCATGGACGCAACGAAGCCCGATACTCTCAGTAGACTCCGCATGCTCCACTATCCTCCTTCAGACAACCTACCTGGAACCTGGGGCGCCGGTGCTCATACTGATGTCGGCTGCCTTACCCTCCTATTCCAGCGGGACGGCGGCGATGGGCTTGAGATCTGCCCTGGCCGGGAGAATGTCAATAGCAAGGCTATCGGAGATACCTTCTTCCCTCTTCCAGCTAAGACTGGTCCCATAGTTGTGAATATTGGAGATATGTTGAGTAAGTGCGGTAAATCTTCCATTTGAAACAATCTAACTCTTGTTACAGTGTCTTGGTCAGATGATCGATTTAAGGCCACGTATCATCGAGTCCGTGCTATGGAGGGTGAATCTCCTAGCCGTTATTCGATAGCTTATTTTAATCAAGGCAGAAAAGACTTTCTGTTCCAGGGACCTCAGAAGAAATAGTGAGTCAATGAATTGCTGTTGCTCGTCGCTTTTCTTAACATGTCACAGCCCTGCGATTACGTGCGGTGATTACATACAAAGCTATACCGTCGCGCAATTCTCGTGAGTCTCCGCAATTGACAGAATTAGGACTTATCACTGAAATAACCTTGCAGGGACAAGGGAAACAGAAGTGGAACAACCGGGATCGCGCAGGGCCCGGCGATGGTTGCTGTCAAGAATTAGACAAAAAAGTTGATTCGAATTTTATTGGATGTGCCGTCCTACCATTTGATTATAGCATAGTTCTGCTTTTCATATATACTACTCCGGCGTCCTTGAGATAGATATAGCATGCAGATCAAGTTTGAATGAATATTGCCTAGTCGATAGCATATGGACACCTAATACACAATTGCTGAGCGGCTGGTGCCATGCATCTCGCCTAGCGAACAATATACAATGCGATTTGGCAATGATACTTTCTGATTAAAAATTGTTTTCATGACGCCTTCGCACTTTTCACTACGTTACGTGGAACATACTGGGATTGCGGCGGCGCATTGAGCATGAGTGGTTCTTGCCTACTTTAAGCGCTAACCACAATTATTAGCATGATTCGGATGCCTTGCCGTTATCACCGGCCCTGCAGACGCCGTCGGCTATGGCCGTCCGGCCACCAACTTCTATGATAACAGAGAGCCGAACTAGAACCAGTACAGTCCATCAATTCCACGTCTGGGAAGGGTTTCCCACAACGGAACAGATCCAGTCTCAACGAAACCGGACCTTGCTAACACAACACACTTTACGGTAGCTATGTCGTACGATGTCCTACCAGCCAGCTCTCATCATGAGGCTACTAGGCATCCAAGATCTCCGGACAGGGATGACTCAGCGGAAGGGGACAATGCATCATTCCAAGACACACAAAACCAGTAAGATGTCATTTTTAATAAGGATGATTGATGCGAAGTTCTGATCTCCGTAGGATTGGCGATGTTCGTCGTCGTAGGCGTATTCCTCGTGCCTGCGAGTCGTGCCGTAAACGCAAGATCCGATGTGATGGCAATGAAGTGTGTGGTGGCTGCCGCGCTGGCTCCATTATGTGTGTCTACCGCGATGTAGAAGGAGCAAGGCTGATGAAAGAGTAAGTCCTAGCCCAAAGTGAGAAAGTGAAATCTGCCCAGTATTGACCACAGTCTCTGAATTGTAGACATGTTCAACAGTTGGACACACGTCTGCAGAAGATGGAGAGCATGTTGACTAACATCCTGACGAAATTCGAGACATCACAGAGTACTAAAAACGTTCCAGGGCAAATAGATGCCTCAAACGAAGGAATGAATGAGATTGCTTTCAATGATGCTCCAGGACCAGCGGACGACTTTCATTGCCCCCCTTCACCACCACTTTCGCATGTCCAATGTATCCCGAACGAGAACAATAGGCATTCAAATGATTTCAATCGAAATGTTCGCCACTCAAAGCGTCGAAAAATCGATCATCGTCGCAGTAGACGGCCGACATATGCGGACGCCTACGGCGAATTGCACCCAGACGAATGGGGTCAACTTAGGTATGTTGTTGGAATGTATGTCATCCCCGAAGACAATACTGACTTATTTAGATACATTGGCCTCAGTTCGACTATGAGTGTGATCGATATTTGCATGCCATTTCGAGAACATATTAATCGCGGATTAGAACAGAAGGGCTACGGCAATCACAACAACTTTCTCGGACCTGCACCGTCCATTTGCGAAGCAATGACGCCACAGTCCACCGATCACAGTAGTGATATCGCCAAGAGTTTCGTTTACGGCCAAATCCCATCTCTTACCCTCGTGAACTTATTGCTTCCAGGATTCTATGATCGCATGTACTTCATTCTTCCTGTCATGACTAGAAGTGACTTCGACGCTGGGCTCGCCAATTTAAACAGAGTCACGGGGCAAGCCGCGCTCGAATCCGACTTTCTACCCGTCCTTTACGCGCTGCTAGCTGTTGCTGCATTAAATACTCCGAAAGACATTCTGGCTTTTGAGAACGACGAGTCCCTCGCCGTTTATCGAGACATGCATTTGGGCGCGAATTATTTTGCCCTTTCAACTATGTGCCACCCTCTCAATGCTCAATATTGTGGAGTGCAAAGCATTGCAGGGCAGAGTCTCAATAGATTGACACCACCTTACCCACGTCGAAGTTTGAACCCAATTATTACTCTGATACTCCAAGCGGCTTATTTATCCGCTATTGGAAGTCAAGCAGAAGCTTGGATACTAATACGGCAAGCGGTAGGACTTGGGCAGGATCTAGGTTTGCATGTAAGTTGTCCAGTGATTTCTGTGAAATCAGCTATACACAATGTCTAACTTTCATAGCGCTCAGCAGCACAATTAGGTTTCTCGAGCGCAGATCAAGAAAGGCGTCGGTACGCCTGGTGGTGCATCTACTCACTCGATCGAGCTCTTTCTGCTGCTCTTGGCCGGCCACTAGGGATTAGAGACGCAGATTGCGACGTTGAGCTTCCATGGGGTGACGAGAATACAGATGGTCACGATAGCACAGGCTTTGTCGCAATACTCAATTTACGGCGCATTTTGGGCGATATTCTCACCACGGTTGCCTCTGTCCGAACGGTCAAAGCCGGTCGCCATGTTAGCAAGACAAGAGAAATGGAGTCAATTGTTGTTGGGCTTCATACAGAATTGCAGACATGGGCTTCTAAGGAAGTCCCCGATCCTATAAAGACCGCGACTGAAGGTCAGCTTTGTGTGGAAAAGTTTATCGCCTTGTCAGGCCACTTCTGTGCACTTCTGCTGCTTTATCGTTTCTTCATGGGCAATCCTCACAGGCCTTCTCCTCTCCGAGACAACGAGGCGCTGTTCCAGTGTGCGCGAGCAGCGACCAATTGCATTCGAATTACCGACAAAATGATCAACTTGATGCCTATCTGTGCAGATCTCGTATTCCATACCCAGCACGTTTTCACGAGCTCTGTCATCTTGCTACAGTGTATCAGGCGCTCTGACGATGCAAACTTTATTCAAGAGGCACTCACCGACGTTGAGCAGGCGCTACGATCTCTACGACAACTTCAGCAGCAGTGGCCAGGCGCTACTCGGCTCACTGCCACAGTGGAAGAGTATGTTGAGTTCACACTCAAATTCATTGAAAATGGAATGGCAGGCCGTTGTGTCTTTCACCCAGACATGAGCGAGTTTACCGGCCTCGAAATCAGAGACGGATCAGGCAGATTCCCTTCTGATTGGGCACAATTGGCTTTCAAGCGCTTGCCCATTGCATCAGGACGCAGAAGCCAACGGCATCCTATTTCCCATGATCAAGACGAAGCATCCACGCCGTTTCGCGATCAGAGTTTGCACCTACGGTCACGCCAGGCATCTACAGAGGCCGACAACAACATTTCTTTGAACCACACTTCTCTGCCCTCTTTGCGGAATGCTCCATCAGCGATTGTTAATGGGGCTGATCCAGGCCTCTTCCGATTTGCGCTGCCACCAAATCCATCGTCAGCGTCAATGTCTTCAACCTCAACTGCGAACACACCAACGCTTAATGACAAACCTCGTTCGAGGACTTCCAGACCAGCCCCAACCTGTCCTCCCGCAAGTGCCAGTCATCAATTGCGCTATCAAGCACCCCGTGATGACGATCCAACACGAAGTTGGAGTATTGGTGTTGCTGATAGCTCTTTTGAAAATCTCTTGGCTACGGGGATGGATACAAGCGGTGACATGCTTCTAGATAATGCTGCTTATTTCGCAAGTGATGCATTCTGGAGTTTTCAGTGAAGCACAATAGACTCAGATGCACATTGGCCAGATGATGCTATTGATAAAAAATCCTAACTCTGTATAACATCTATCACGATTTGGCAATGAAGACGCTGCCTGAAATGTTTGCAAGACCACTGGTCGTATGGTCCCTCCTTGCTTATAGGTCAGTGTTTGATCTGTATATACCCAGGTTTTCCAACATAGAGAGATCCGAGAAAGTGAAGAGGTAAACCGGCTCATCGTCATTGGCGTGTATGGTAAATTTGTACCAGCTGGGTATGACAAATGTATCGGCATGACCCCAGCTAAGCTCATAGGTCTTGCCTCCTCTTGGAGCAGTGATTACGGCCTTTCCAGAGCCGGAGTGGACCTGGTAGATTCTATTGCACGTGTCCTGTCGAGGAGAAGTGACCTTTCCGGGCTGTATGCGCTCCGCCTGAGCGGCAATGATGGAATTGATCTGTTTTCCATCTGGGAGTCGGTACTCATATACTGAGTGATCTGAATTTGCTGCATCAAGGCGTGCTTTTGTTACCCTCCAGGGGAATTTCATCTCAGCGCATTCTTCATCGGTAACCACTTTAGACTCATGCGTGATTGTTCCATAGAAATCCTTGTATTCCTCGAGAAAGTCGATGGGATTCAAGCTGTAGAACGGTATGTTGAGACCGTCCAGCCAAATAACGTTGTCCTCTCCATCATTTCCATGGTCATGCCATTGCCATTGAGGAGTAATTATCATGTCACCAGGTTCCATGTACATTTTCTTTCCTGCGATAGCCGTGAACCCTATTGTGATCGTCAATGTAATTTCCTGTATACTTCGGGGTAAAAACGAACGTACCATGGAGACCCTCAATGAGAAATCGCACTGCGAAAGGAGTGTGGCGATGGCAAAGTGCTCGTTCTCTAGGAAGTAGCAGCTGGTGCGCAGAGAGAATGGTGTCCAACGTGTGAGGTGGCTTTTGTGGACCAGGATTGATCATTATAAGTGCTCTTCTCTCTGCTTCTTCCGCTGGCACAAGCTCTCCAGCTTTAAGCAGGTGTGCTCTGGTATCTTTGTAACGCCATACCGCCGGAATATGTTTAGTTCGGGGCTCGGGAAGAGTAACATTTCTTCCAACGTTCCATAGGGCTGTTAGGCCATGATTGACGATGCTCTTCTCTAGCTCGGGACGTGAGATCATGGAATCTGTCTGGGACAACGACGATGATTTTGGCTCGACTACATCGGGATAAGGGGAGACCTCTAGTGAGGGAGCCATTGTGAACTCGCAAAGCTATGTTTTTTTGATGACCTTATGCAAATGAGTCCCCAGTAGCAAGTTCATTCAAAGTGTGTTTGTGACATCTGGACAGGCCAACGGAGTTTGATATGTTATCTGTTAGATATGTAATGAAGCCCTCTCACTGGCTCATCGGATAGCATCCGGTACGTGGTTACCCGCTAAGTCCGGCAACGGATGCTAGCCGAGCAGCCCGGCCACCAACGACTCCACCAAGATAATGCTGATGAGAGCTAATTCATTGGAGACAGTCAGTGTCAAAGAACATAGCAGGGGATTTGCATTTTCTTCACTCTCTTGGCCCTTTATAGAGAAGCTGGTAGATTTAATTCTCTAGTAGCAGCCACTTTTCTAGTACGATGCGTGGTCCGCACATTGGTGAGTTTCAGGGAATGGCTTCAGCAAGTCATTTTCATGTCTCATTGTGCCGCAAATAGCTGGGATCATGAGATATCAGATAAAAGATTGTTACAACCTTGGAAGACGAAGATCATGCATCTGAAAAGGCATCATTTTCGAGTGCTGCTAAAGGCTGATGCATCTTTTGATGTATCGAGGCATCAAATGAGCTCGTGGCTGCCGGGCGTAGAATAATGAAAACAGTCTTGCTACCTATAGAGGTAGTGTTATCTGAACATCTAGCGATTAATGAGATTAGCAGCGTTAAACCATCGTTGTAGTATCAGAAAGGGCATGTAAGTCACAACTTCGTGTGTTGTTTATCATTAAGTGCGAGCCTCGAAGAAATTGAATGTGTGATTTATCCTGTGATACGCAGAGGAAACTGGCTCATTGTGACAAATCGACGTAGAGGATACTGACATTCGACGACATAAAGTTGAGGTTCCTCAATGAAGACGAAATTCGTAGACATAGGTCATTTGATCCTATAGCCGGCTTCTAGGCTTCTTGTCTCCGCTGAGGTGCCTCGGTCGACTTCACCAATACGTCCAAACCCTAGCCCGTGTCCGGCGGCGATCAGCCGGAGTTCCCCTTTTCAGACTTTACGGAAGCATCACCCCTCCTGAATGAAGTCAGGAGCTTTTCAGTCAACCCGGTTGCGAATGCTGGAAAAGGAGGTTCTTTGTGATATTGGATTCCAGATACCGCCAAGCTGGAATCAGCCGCCGGCTAAATGCGTTTGACCATGCCAAACCGCAACCATCCCCGCCACCACATGCCGTCAGAATGCGGGCGACTCAAGGCTTTCAAGTCATTGGTTAACGTAATCCCTGCTTGGAAAGTCATGTCCTGCGATGGGGCTCGTGAGAACCGGGTTTACATGTCCGCTGCGGCATTGTGCCTATATTGCTGTGGCATCCTCATACCGGGGAAAACATCAACAAGGCACGACCTGCTTGTAGCTTACATAGGTGTGAATGCAAGGGCATATGATTCTTGTGGATCTCATGGTTTGCGAATGTGCTCAGGCGGAAGCAAGGCCTTCCGTTTCCATCGCCGTACGACCGAGCGGTCCCCTTTTCCTCACGAGCCATGCTATTTCTAGTGATACAAGCTTGGTGCTAATGGAAACAAGAGTACTATTACTCGCTAAGCAAGTCATGCGTGTTTTCAGCGGCCCGATCGCGTGTGTTAGTGGCGAGACACGAACCATGATGGCCGGTGTTGGGTAGTATCGGTGTGATGGCTAGACCTAGAGGCAAGCAAATTGCCTTAACTAGGCTATGATATAAAATCCGAGACTCGTCGGGGAAGTAAAGCCAATATTTTAGACGTTCAACTCTAAGAGGTCATCAAGTTGCCAACATGGTATCCCTTACAACCGCAATCCTCGCTTTGTCAACATTTTCAGGAGCACTTGCTGCTCCTGCAGACCATGTCGCTCGCAACGCCAGTGAGCTTCTCCTGGAGCGTGCCGGAACTCCAAGTTCTACAGGCACGAATAATGGCTATTATTATTCGTTCTGGACTGATGGTGGCGCCGATGTGACATACACCAATGGCGCTGGAGGGCAGTACAGTGTGACCTGGTCCGGCAATGGCAACTTTGTCGGTGGAAAGGGATGGAATCCTGGTGCTGCTAGGTAGGAAGATGGCTTTCCTGTTCTCTCGAATTATTCACAGGGTCTCATTGTTTCATAGGGCTATCACATACTCAGGAAGCTATAACCCCAATGGTAACAGCTACCTTTCCGTGTATGGGTGGACGACCAACCCACTGGTTGAATACTATATTGTGGAATCTTACGGAACGTACAATCCATCGACCGGTGCTACGAAGAAGGGGAGCGTAACTAGCGACGGGGCAACCTATGACATCTATGTCACCACGCGAACCAATCAGCCATCCATCATTGGTACTGCTACTTTCCAACAATACTGGTCTGTCAGAAGCTCTAAGCGAGTTGGTGGTACGGTCACTACCGGAAACCACTTCAATGCGTGGGCTAGCGTTGGGTTGAATCTGGGAACACACAATTATCAGATCGTTGCAACCGAAGGGTACTATAGCAGTGGATCCGCCACTATTACTGTAGGATCTTCTGGGGGTGATACCACGAGCCCACCGCCCTCGTCAAGCAGCTCTCCGAGCAGTGGTGGTGGTGGCAGCGTAAGTCAAATCAACCCATTTCTGTTGAAGGACTACCTACTGATAAATCGATGTTTCTAGTGCTCCGCAAAGTACGGACAATGTGGTGGATCAGGATGGACCGGTGCGACCTGCTGTGTGTCTGGTTCAACTTGTACCTACTCCAACGCATGGTATTCACAGTGCTTGTAAGGGGCGCAGTGATGGTCGGGTGGAAAATGCTGTCGAATCCGCCCGAGTTATATAGCTTGCATCATCTATGCTCACGCGGAGCAGGCGGTTTTATCTTAAAACACCCCTGCATGTATTTACTTCTTCCACATGGTTTCAAGTATTATGTTTTCCTTCCACGTCTCCGACCCGGCTATATCCTGTTTGATAAAATGACTTTGATTATCTTGGCGGTATACCAGCCTTCAAATAAGCTTGTTATCCCTGAGTTACTTGCAACTACGATGTCCTGCCGGGGTAGTAACGTTCTGGCCGAGTTGCAAGATAGATATTTTGTTCCCCGCCAAGATCACTAATTTATCGCCCGCAAGCCCAAAGTTACTGATGGGATAGAAGTCCGCATCGATCAGTTGCTCTGCGTTAAAGACGCCCAATTCTCGGCCACGGTCGTCCCTAACGACGACGCCGTTCCATTCAGCAGTCCAAACACGTCCATAGTCATCGACTTTGATGCCATCTGCATAGCCACTCCGCGGCATTGCGAAAAGACGCTTGTTGACAGGCATGCAGTCGGCGTCCAAATCATATTTGTATACCGCCTGTGAACCTGACGAATTTGAGCCAACACCAGAGCGTGCGGTGGCCGCTACGTCTGTAAAGTACAGATGTTGGCCCGTGGGATCTGCGTATATTCCGTTCGGGGCGAGAAGGTCCGCACGCGAGACAACAGCCTGTACGGACTGTGTCGAAGGAGTGTATCTGAATATCGCGTTTGGTAGCACTGAGTCAACGAACTGTGTCTCGCCAGCCGCACTGACATCGAGAATCGTGAAAAATAAATGGTCCTCACCCGGACGGGTACAAGATTCGGAGCCGGACGATGTATTGGCCTTGACCCAGGCAAGATCGTCAATTGGGTTGAACGGAACACCACCATAAGAGTTCAGCACAGTGGTGGTCTTGACAGTGAAGGGGTCAATGGCATGAATGGCGGGCACCGCTCCTGTAGACTTGAGTCCGAAGCTGGCAATGTACACAGTCTTGTTATAGTAAGATCCTCCGGTAGTGGATATTAGCGATGCGGGTGGAGGAGTGCTCGGCGGCGAGACTGTGAAGTTGTCTAAATTCAGCACATAGTAAGGCTCGGAATCCCCCCCGCTGCTTGTGCAGTAGAGTTGGTTGAGCTCAGGAACCCACACGCCCGCCTCATTAATGTACGAAAACGTCGCATTGCTGGCATATATTGTGCGAATTGTCGGCGAGTTGCCCACAATGAAATCGAATTCTGTATCATAAGAATAGAAAGTTGCATTGCGTGCAGAACCGAGCAGCTCATTGATAGAGGCATCAGATGTGGTGGTGTCGATGAAATGTTTGTTGATATTCCCGACATAGCCCTCTGGAAGCAAGTATGTGAGTTTAGGGGGAATCGACACGCCGTAAACTCTTTCTTGTGCTACCACGCTCTTGACGGACGTGACAAGAAGAAAAACTTGCCTCGAGAATCTCATTGTGATGTCCTTGACAGAAGAGAAAAGAAACTGGGACAACTGTTTTGCTGAGCAGCTGGTGCGTAGATCATGCTATAGGGCAAGCCGACAAGTCGCGATCTCTTATATAGGCGTATCATGTGTCGCATAGTACTCCCATTTACGGAAAATGCCTTCGCGAGCCTTTGGACATGACGATAGCCGGGGTCCAGTCAAGCTCAGTAGAAGGCTTTGGCGCGTGGGGCTTGGCATCATCTTGCGTGGCCGGGAGCTAGGGATTGAGATGGACCTGGTGAAGTGGCTCCATGGTGTTACTAAAGGGTAGTGGCTTGAGTCCAATGTTATTTGACTATCACCACTGAGAATATCTACAAGGGAGGCTCAGCTGCAGCCATGCATACGCAGTGGTAAGCTTATTTTGTTTCCGGGGGATCAAAATTGCTACAGCACCTGTCAAACGATCGTGGAGGCGCACTGCACTAAGTATCAGCGTTACGTTGGCTCGCAATCTGCGTACAGAAGCAGTAAACCCCTAGTAGGATCAGCACTAGCGATGTCGCGTTCTGGGTGCTGATCTGGAAACAATCCTCAAAGCAGCTAGACGCATTGATGAAAGATTCAAAGTGTAATTTCTTCCAGCATGGAGGACATAATAAACCATCGTAACTAGGGTAATGAAGGAGGAGGCACAATTCTTCGTGTCCGACAAGCCGTTGAAGTGTAGAATTACAATGAGTTGTGTAAAGTCAATCGTTTACAACAGTTAGTAGTCATGTTCATTTACACCAATCTCCACGGCTCGTTCTCCAAGTGATCGAGAAGGGGCGTTTATTTGACGTGCTCTGATCGTCCGATCGTCCGCTCTCCTCTTGAATCATGCGGCGAGGATTGCACTCCACTATGCTGAAGTGTCTGACAATCGATGGGTTCTTCTGATGCTTGCATACCCAGTGCTCCCTCAGCCGCCCATAACCAAAATAGACTCTTGACGGGCTGAAGGACCGCTGGGGCATCACTCAAGTAGGTAACCCCCAAATTGGCCTATCATAACAGATGATTGGTGCATTAGGGTTAATTGATTGTAAATCCAAGGTCCCAAGTGCGATCTAGGCTCCAAAAGCGACTTAAATATTCTAAAAACAAACAGAAAAAGAAGACTGGAGTCCAACTTTATTGACTTCCTATCCATGAATAAACACATTTACCCAGGCATTTCTTTTATCCTGACCAAAAACCACGAGAGCCGAAGATTACGGCCATTGTCGGCTCATCACATGGCCAACGGACGAATGGCAACACGGCGACAACGGTCACGCGCCTGGAGCTGTGATGGCTCGACTGCCCAGCCGAACCCCGCATTCACCACCACCTCGGACTGCCGCCCGACACAACCTCCACATCAATTCCCGAACGGTCCCTGACTGCCAAGTAGTAAGCATAAAAGCTTAATCAGTCTTAGGACTCATATCAGCCTCGTACAAGGTGTCCTCTGTGAGCCGCAGTCTTGGCTTCCGGTGTCAAGGAACAGTCTCCAAGCGTCTTAGTCAATACCAGATATACAGTTCGAGGATTCAGAGTGCTTGACTTTCACCTTGGAGACCATGTCGGAGGGCGGGACATACAGTGGGCTTGAGCATCATGCCACTAAATCAATGCTTGAGCGGAGCTCGACTGCGGAGATCGAGACTCGAATGGGCCGGAAGCTGTCATCAGCACCAGCGCAGCTGAAGCAGATACTCTACATTCCCGATCACAACAATAATGTCACACATCTTCCCTTATACAACGTCGCCGCGTCATACAACAAGACAGTCGGAGAGTGGCCGGTTGGCTCAAGTAGATTCAAGACCAGCCTCAGCTTGATGCAGAAGCCCGTCGGTGACGGGAGGGATGCTGAAGTGACATATCTCGTCGACTTTTTCCAAGGCCTACCAGTCACGGCAACCGTGAGTAAGAGGACTCTAGGGCATCAAAATGCGGAAGCCACTCTGTATGTCAGAAATATATAGTTTTTGTAACTGTAAAGGGAGACTTACGATATATTAGGACTCTTCCCAATGGACCAAGTGAGAGATTCGATATTGGCACATCATCAGGAGGCGTCCCTGTCACAACCTCATTTCCGATTCCAGACACCTTAGTGAAAGGAGCTACTGTTCGCAACCCTTACTTCAACTTCACATTTCCAACATTGATCGACTCGAAACATTTGCAGTGGCAAGTACATCCCAAAGAGCATGGGTCGTTGCGGTATTCTCTTGTTGAAGTGGATCCGGCCTCACCGAGTTCACCCACCGATGATGAATCAGTCATCAGAGCAATATACCATCATATTGGGCTCGGGCTATCCGTAGCTCAGCCTCACAGTGAGGGTGTTCTTCTTATCCCCGAACACCAGGACGCAGAGACGGAAGCAGTCACTGTTGCAAGTGTCATCGGCCTGTTATGGCAAATGCGGAACTTGGATGCTAAGGTGAACAGTTCAAGGCAGAGACAGATGTCGACTGGAAGTTCCAAAAGCAATGGCAAGAAATCTATTTTTGGGAAAGTGTTTGGGAAGAAGTAAAGTGAGACTATTTCTGGGACAAATTGCGATGCTGTTTTGTTTCATGTATACCCTACCAATTGAAGATATCCCATGCAAGCGCGGGTTTGGATATTGGAATATTCTTAATCAAGGCCCTTATTCAAAAATTAACTCTTACATGATCATCCAAGTGCGAACTTCGGCAAATCAATCGTGGCTGGATTCTTTTTCAAGACCTTCTAACTAATGGTGACCCGGCCATTACCGGCGCAGCAGCTCCGATCCCGATTGAAAAGCTGCGATGTGAATCATCCCGCATCCCGGTGTCGGTCTCCCCAATTGCCCCTCACGCGACCATGTCCCATTTAGGGCGCATCTCAACAATCAACGTCATCGGGTGCAAGAATAAGAGAATTTATACATCTCCACCGACTTTTGATGCTCAACGCAGAACAGTCAAGCGACATCATTTTCTGTGAATCAAGAAGAAATGGCACCGAATGAGGATATCAGTTTGCGAGAATCAAGGCCCTCTGGGCTTGATGAGTCGAGTCCTCCAGACACCGAACAAGACGCTGTGGAACCCTCGTCGTCGGATTCGCGGAGATGGGAGTCAAAGAGAACGAGAGCAAGTGTTCTCGCGGGGGCTGCGATATCGCAGCTACCGATATGGGGTAGGTCACAATCGCCGGGTAATTGCAACTTAATTGCTCAATTGCTCTTCTATAGGGTTTGCCATGTCCTGGGGTGTCTTCCAGGAATACTTCGGCAGCAACTGGACGCTGCAAGGCAGCCGCTCGGCCACCGGTGTCATCGGCACGACGTCTAACGGTGTCATGTACCTGTCCATGCCGTTTCTGTTCGCACTTTTCACTAAGAGATGGGCTCGCTGGCGCCAGATTGCCGCCCTCTGCGGCGTGGCGCTGACGTGCGTGAGCTTCATCCTGTCGTCGTTCAGCACGCAGGTCTGGCACCTCGTTGCGACGCAGGGCGTCCTGGCCGCACTGGGCGCTGCGCTTATCTACAGTCCAACAACTCTGTCTCTCGGGGAGTGGTTTAACACCAGTAACCGGGCCGTGGCATACGGCATTGTCTTCTCGTGCAAGAACATCGTCGGCTCCGTCTGTCCGTTTCTATTCCGAGCTCTGCTCGACCGATACGGGTTCAGGTTGACCTTGAAGATTTGGGCTGCTATGGTCGCGGGAAGCAGCATTCTCGCCATCGTCTTGATCCCAACGCACCCCTCCAGCCTGAGGGCGAGCGAGCACCGCGCGAGAGGAATGCCATGGCACTTCCTCAAACACCGTACCTTCTACATCTACAGCATTGCCACCCTGTGCCAAAGCGCAGGCTATGGCATCCCGCAGACGTACCTCAACACGTATGCCCACGATGTCAGCGGGCTATCGCAGAACTCGGCCACGCTCCTGCTCACTCTCTTCAACGTTCCCGGCATAGCCTCGTCGTCCTTCTTCGGCTACCTCAGCGACAACAAGCGCTTCCCATTGTCCACCGGAACCGTCACGGCCATATCCGCCATCAGCTCTGCGCTGGCCTCCTTTCTGCTCTGGGGCCTGACATCGAAGGGTAGCATGGCGCTGCTCGTGCTATTCTCCATCAGCTTCGGCTTCTTCGCCGGCGGGTACAGCGCGACCTGGGGCGGCGTGATCAACGAGCTCGAGCGCGAAGCCGCGCAGCGGAACGAGGCCATCGACACGGGTATGATCTACGGGCTGCTCAACGGCGCCAGGGGAATTGGCTATGTAAGCGGTGGTCTGGCCGGTGTGCCATTGCTCAAAGTCGGCAGCGGCGTCTCGATTGGCAACTTTGGGTACGGCACCATGTACGGGCCGCTCATCATTTTCACCGGACTGTCGACTGTGTTTGGCGGCTGGGGCTTACTGTGGAAGTGGGAGAAGTTGCTGCAGTTTGTCCGCAAGCATCGCCATACTCCTGGCGTAGCACAACTTCACGCTTTATCCCAGAGACTTCGTGGGACGCCGATGGCCGCGTCTTGAAGTTGGAGAGGGCACGAGTGTACAAATCAGTGGCCATGAAGTGCAATTTGATAGACATTTTGAGATGAAAAGATTGACTCAGGCAACCCATTTCGCAGATAGTGGAGGTGAGTGGGATGGGCCACGTACGAAGTCAAATGAGGGGTGAAGTGAGGAAACATTGTTGAACAATCACTATTGGTCGAGAACAGCAGAACAAGTTACAGTGTGAAAGGTAGAGGATATCGTAAAATGCTTGGAACATTAAAGGAATATTTTTGGTAGCGGGTATAATTATTCGTACAGACATGAATACATTATTCATATAGACGCCTCCGATTCAATCACTGATCACTGTTGTAGTGAATACCCCAACTCCAGAACGCTGTGATGTTGCCGTACTTTTCTCTCGACTCCTTTGACTCATTCTCAAACTCCTCTCAGCTTGTATACTCTCTAGAGCATATGACTTTAGACCATCTCATCAGCTCGTCGGGCCGGCCCGGTACCAACCGCCTTACGGGGGTGCGCAATGCCATGTCCATTTGCTCCTGAGCTTGTCATGCCATCGCCGTTGGTGTAACCTGCACCATTGTGGTGGTGGTGCTTATCATGGAATGTTCCAGATGTGCCAGTGCCCCAGCCAACACGGCGTGTGAAAGTGGCGTTGGCGAGCTCAGGGTTGCCAAATTCGAAAGGAGCTCCTCTGTTGAGGGGAATGTGGTTCCAGCGCCAGTCCCAAATCGCAGCATAGCACATGCGATAGGCAGAAAAGGCCATGACGGTACCGATGATGGCACCGGCAAGGATATCGTACCAGTTGTGGAACTCATCGATGGTGAGAGCTCCTCCGATCAAGGTAGCACCCAGGATTGGAGCGTAGACAACAATCAGCTTCCACATGGCGGGGTGGTAGTTGGAGAAGACCTTGAGCTTGGCATTGAGGTAGAGATAGAGATAGACGAAACCTGCAAAAGCAGCGGTGGTATGGCCAGATGGGAAAGACTCGAGTGAGTCGTCAATCTCGTCGATGTCACCAGTGCAAATCTCGCGCGTGTAGTAGATCTGTTGGTAGCCAGCGGCATTGTTGCCTGCGCCAACGACGCCAGCGGCGTTTGATGCGAGACTAATGTCGGGTTTGCAGACAGTGAGGAAATGAGGTCGTAGTCCACCAATCAACCATTTGAGGAACACCTGGAAGACAGCTGCAGTGATGAGAGAGTAGAGTAAACCAATGACACCATTGTTGACATCCCAGAATGAGCGGATGCGAATCTGCATGGCCAGAATGATAACGATAGGGATGACAGAAGCGAGAAACGCAGCGAGCCAAATGGGGATGATTTCCTTGCGCAGGGGGTAGGCGAATTCGGGATAGACAACTTCACCATCGCTCGTGAACGTCACGGCAAACGACCGCGTAGGGGCCGGATGTGCCATGTAGACCTATCAAGCCATGTTAGTCTTTGTCAAGATGTCATAGTTAGGAAGAGAGACATACGCCAAGGCCGACAGCGCCCATTGCTGCCATGGTGATGATGTCGAGCCATGTCCACTTTAGCCACTGGCCGAATGTTGGGCGGGTGCCCATCGAGTAAAAGGGCTGACTAGAAGAGTGATGGTGGCGCGGTGTGCGAGGGGCCGCTGGGGCATCGCGGCGACGGTTGAAGAAACCCATTTTTGACGGTTAGTCAAAGTGTTGTTGATGTGAGACTAGTTTGCCGACTGTTGTTGCTTGTCTGAACGCGCTACCGTGGACAGCCCTTGATGTGAGGGCTGGAGTCTTAAGATAGACTCGCAAATGTGCGCCGGAATTTAGGAGAGAAAAGGAGAGCTGGAGGGCAGTTCAAGAAGTGAAAAGCCACGCCCGGTGCTTGGCGGCTTTAAAGGGCAGAAGTGAAGCTCGTCATCGCGATAACAGACTACGGGCCTGACGTCACTTGGCGGGAGATCGTTTGGAGGTGAGGCTTGACAACGCCAAACGTCATGCACGTAAGGGAATGAGAGCCCTAACTGCCCAATGGGACGGGGCTCTTGAACTGCCTAAGAAGCTGGCCGATTGCCGTTATGAAACGCCAACCACAAAACGGCAAGGAGCGGAGGGTGAATGATCAATGATCGCATCGGCAGCTGCCAATGTTACTCTAACCGTACCGGTGCTGTACGCTTGAGCGAGCCCCTGCCATTTGACTACAAAGACCAATCTGGCCAGTCAAGGGCAGGAACGATCCAGGCACATCTGTGGCACCTGCTGCAAGAGCATACAAGGAAGGCGCCATCACTGACGCTTCCATTTTTTCGCAGGCCACTCTTTCCCCCACATGGCCCGTCCCCGTTGTGCCGCTTCCCGATCGAAACGTGAGAGAGTCTTGGCGCACATCACGCGTCACAAAACTTGGCAGACTTGGCAGAAGCTTAATTGCTGCCTCTCCAATGAGCTTACCCCCTGCGCTTGCTTCGCTTCCACTACGGGTAGGCTCCCAGCTTTTGCTTCCACTGGAGAAAAGCCCTGTAGCTCTCCTCAACACAGACCACCAACACTTGCTGATTTCGTCATTGTTGCACTGCTCAGACCCTGCCTCGCAGTAGGTATCCAGCTCCAGTAATGAAAGCCGACGAAAATTTAAGGGGAAAAACACATCGAGCAAGCTATCCACTTCACAATTCGACTATCGAGATGGAGAGATTAAGGTACAGGTAGTGTAGAGCGTCTAGCGCATCGCGAGCCAATGTTTCGGAGGCTATGCTCACCAGCATGAGGCTCTCACAAGCCCGACTGCTGACAGAAATTGTTATGATATAGACAAATGAGATAAGTTTGTTGTCTTATAACTCGATGCTTATTATCAAATCAGGCACAGTTTCCCAACACGAAGTTTGTTTGATGCGGCCAACCAGTCGGCGAGTTTTCCCCGCCCTCCTGACGACCTCAATTGTGCTCCTTCACCAGCCTAATGGGAAGGTAGCCAATCTAGTCGGATCTTTCCTCCCGATTGAGGAAAGTTGGAAGACTCTGCCAGGTATCTCTCTTCAGGTTGATTAGAAGTGAGATCTGTAGAGCGTTATATCTTCACTTGAAAATGCAGCCATGCAATGCACCGCTGGCGTAGGTGCCATTTCGTTTGATATCCCTCTCCTTGAAATTTATTTACCTTACAGTTGGTAAAGTGGGGGGAAAAGTCTAGACCAGACACCCGCACACCCGCATTTTTGGCGCCGCGAGCGCGTGCCGTGCAGCCCTACTTACCTGGTGATCGCCTCAGAGAAGCTCTAGTCAGGCCTGCCTCATAGAGATTGATTGCCAGATTAGACTCACACCTTTGGCAAACGACTGAAATTTGCAGTGATCTCTTTTCTTACAATGACAATTCGTATACGACCTCAAAATTCAGCTGGTGAAGGGATCAAAAGGAGCATTTACCTATCCTGACGTCACTGGCGTCCGTGTACCCAAATACGTCATTCTTCATACAGCTCGACTTTACCTTTTTCAGCTGTGATCGTTGGAACCACCGCTTGCAATGTTCTACAATCATTCGAAGACCGCGTGACCCTAACAATACTTTCCATCAATCAGTCCGCAAAGCTCGAGACCACGATTCTCAATCTTGCGATCACCAATGGCCGAAATCGCAGCAGGAGCACTCGTGGCCGAACAGGTTGTCGCCACGGGTGTCGAGGCTGCAGCTGCAGTAGCCATTGCGCGACCCACTCAGCCTCTTCAGGCCACACTATCTCAGATTGGGACATCAGATGCATCGTGAGTCCAATTAGTCTGTCACTTGCCTGCAAGATGGACTTACCATTTCAGTCTTGCCCTAGCGAGATCGCACCATAGCTTGACTGTCATCGACAAAAAAGCCTACATCTTCGGCGGCGAGCAAGCCAATGGCCAGCTCTGCTCCAGCGACGTACACGTAGTGTCTTTGCCTTCAGATTCAAATACGGAAGTCGACTATGCGTGTTATCCGGCAATTCCACTACAAGAGGTCGGCTCAGGAGAGACTTACGTGCCCAAGCCTCGGAAGAGACACGGTGCGAGCGCTAGAGGTCGATTTCTTGTGATACATGGCGGGTGCGATGATACAGGTACGCCCATGTCAGAGTCTTGTCTCTGGCTATTCGACACGCACAGCTTGAAGTGGAACAAGGTCGAGGCCGTGACGCAGATAGGGAAGACACTCACGTCGAGGTTCGACCACTATATCTCCATCGATGAGGTCCAAGATATTCTCGTCCTACAGGGTGGACGCACTAGCTCAGGGCAGGAACAATCTTCTGAGACATGGCTCTACACATTCGACACGCTGGCGTGGACGGAACTCCCCGCGGCGCCATCGCCACCGACCTCCTCGGCCCTCGTGAACGGCACGATATATACCATCAGTCGAGCGTCAGACATGAGTGGTCGAGTTCATTTCCTAAGCTTGGGCTCTAACGCCACAGAACGTGAGAAGAAGGGCTCTCTGGCATGGCAAACTGTCGAGTTTCCTATCAACCCCCTAACCCCGGCCCCACACCCCCGTGAGGGCGCTGGGCTGGTTCCTGTAACCACAGGTGCCGGCCGACATTACTTGCTCTATTTCTTTGGTGTCCAGGACGGCTCCGACTCTACTTCGAGACCATTGCTATCGGACGTTTGGTCGCTACAGCTACCAACAAGCGGCTTCACATTGGCGGGTATGAAAGATAAGATTCGAGAGAATCTACCACGCGCTGAGACCGGGACGATGACGTGGGCGGAAGTGGAATTACTGCCCATGGAGCAAATGGAACACGAAGGGAAGGCCCATCCCGGCCCCCGAAGCTACTTTGGAACATCTGCGGCAGATGGGAAATCAATAGTCATCTGGGGCGGTGCAAGCGCCAAAGGCAAAGAAGGTGACGGTTGGATTTTACGAGTTCAGTAGATAATATATTGACAATAAACTCGAAAAGCTCTCAATTTCTGTTCTCGACATCTAATCTTCCAAGCTATTTCGGAATGACAGGTAGAATGAGCCAACTCTCGAAACCATTGCCCGTGTGGACTTTGTTCAAGCCTTTAAACTTCTGCAATGGCCTATCTCGAGGATCATTATGGGTCCACAACCCAACTGGCGGATGCGTGTCTTTCTTTTCAACACCGTCAATGATAGTTGGGTTATCTGACGCTGCAATCTCAAGGATCAGCCGCCCTCCTTTCTGAATAACAACGTTAGTAGGCCAAAACTCGACATCTACCGTATAGACTGTGTTGGGTTTGATATGAGTTTTAGCTGTAGTGGAGTGTACATGATGTGGTAGCCAAGGTCGATGTTGTGGGTGATTTTCATCAGTGGCGAGGTGAGACACACGCAACCAGCCCCTGACTATAGGAGTCAGCTCTGCAAATGATCCCGTGTAGAGAACTAGAAGACATTAGTACACCGGGATCTCATGGATGAATTAGATCCTGCCTTCTTTCCCCTGCGCATTTATATGCCGTAACGTAGCGAAGATATCGATATCAGTTGGCATTGATTCATCGAGTGATGCCAAAGAAACTGCAAGGTGAAGTACGGGGTGGCCAGTGATCTCGATATCCTCGTCGAAAGGAGGAGTCGAGAACTCGATAGCAGCGCTGTCCATGTCAGCCTCTATTCTTCCCAGAACAACACTCAATGCTTACTCGGGAGCGGCATATTCAAAGACCTTTTGCTCTGTGACGGACTGTGTGGTTGCAAGTTCGCCTGTCGAACTCAAAAACCACTTCCGATACTCAGTCCTAGCAAGAGGCCACTCCCACTCCGCTCGCCTTTGGAACACTTTCTGCTCTTCTGCAACGTTTGCTACCGCGGGCTCTCCCTTTCTCACCACCAGATCGACCGGAGGGATCTTTCCAGGAATAGTCCAGCCCTTAGTGTCTTGTCCCTTCAGAAACGCGTCTAGAAACGAGCGCTGGTTCTCGACCTCCTCATCGTAGTAGAAGGGCAAGTCGTGACGTCCAACAATAAAGCGTATGTATTTGAGCGGGGCCGACGCAAACATGAATGCCCGTACATTGCCGCGAAGGTGAAGAGCAACGCCTCCCCAGTTGGCGACGCTGAGGAATGGTGTGGTGATATCCGCCAATTTGAATTCCCTCTCGGAATTGAAGTCTTGGTCAGCAAACTCATTCTCCGCGATGGCGTCATAGATCACAACTCGATTCTCGGCAAGCTCTTCCGGCGTCAACTTGCCCTCCTCGGTATTTGGACGCCCGGGCTTTTCCTCTGGCGTCGGATAACCGTATTGATTTCCTCGAAGAGAGTTATTCCACCACCACTCCAAAAAACCGTTAGAAGCGATGCCGCCGTGACGTGCACAATCTCGGTAGACATCAGAGAAGCCCTCCCATGGAATCATGGCCTCGAGCCCCTTGGGATGACGGGCAGCGACCATCCATTGAGTCGCAGCATAGTAACTCAGTCCAAGTAATCCGACTTTGCCACTACTCCACGGTTGCTCGGCGGCCCATTGAATCACGTCAAAGAAGCCATCGACTGTCTGCTTACTGAGAACGTTCATCTTGCCGGGACTTTGGCCGAGGCCTCCCTCATCTGCGCGAACAACGACATAGCCATGAGCCGTCCAATACTTTGGGCTTGGTGTTTCCCATGACGAGTGGATCGACTTCTGCGACTCGGAAATGGCGGCATATGAAGGGGCGGCGAATGTTGAATAGTGCCAGTCCTTCCCATCTAACGTATATTTAGTTTAAATCACTAAAGCAGAAGAAACAAGGTGGAAAACAGCTTACATGGACCAAATGTCACTATAACTGGATACTTTCCGGGTATTGGTGGTCGGTACACATTCACACGTAAGACATTGCCAGCGGCCTCGCCAGTCTCTCTTGGTACTGTAACATTCTTCTCAAAGATATATCCCTCTACTTCCTCTTGATGATAAATATCTTGAAGCTTAAGAGACATAATTGTTGCTATTTAATTGGCCACCAAAGGGTTGGTTTCACTGTTTTGCGTACTGTGCTGGATTCTAATTCTTTCACTTCTGGAGTGTTGCTTGGCAAACAATGCGATGCTTTATAGTATTTCTCTCAGTGGGACCGCACCAGAACAAACCCAGGTATCCATCACTTCTGTGGATTGATTACTAGGCAAACGTGCTCATTCATGTTATCGTGGACTCGGCCAGTCGGCGACGGCGCCGAGCCATCAGGTGAGTCCCAATCTCGGCGAGTTTGAACGGGCAAGTGACCAATCATAACAAAGATAGCCAGGCCAATATTCTCAATAGTGCAAATTTCTATGTTTGGTACGAGTGTGGGAAGTTGTAGAGGTCCTATTAGCATAATGCAGAGTCATCACTCCCTCCACTCTAGCTGATGCCAGACTTGACTACTATTCAGTGATGCATTTTTCGAAATATGATAAGTAAAGTATGCGGATCAGAATCCACGCAGTCTTTTATCTTGATGAGGCTAGCAACAAAACTCTGGCATATTGTAGCCTCCCTGCGCAAGTCAGAGGAACGGCTCGATAGATTCAACATCACATCAATTAAGTCACAGTTCTACGTCAGGATTAAATCACATCAGGAGCTACCGCGGAACGCTTCTGGCTCTACATGTGACATGAATGACAGCAAATCGGCCGCAGTGCTATCTGACCGACTAAGTTGCTTGAAGCTCACCAACCAAGTTGTCTTTATACTATTTTGCGAATCGATAGAACCCATAATATCTCGAGACCTATTACTCATCAACTCGGCCATGTCACCCTGGATATTACGCAGTAGTCACAAATATCCTACAATGGTGATTCGAGTTACATTTAGACCTATGCGACTACTAAGGGGAAGACGCGTAAGCTACGTAAGTAGGTGTATCGTTACTCATCACCCACGAGCTCTCTGGAAATAAGTGAATTACCCAAGAGGCTCGCTGCCTCCTCCTGGCTCATTCCGCCTGGCTCAGGAAAATTGCTTCTGGGTCCCTTCATTACCGCCTTGCGGGATCATTTAGTGTATGTCGTCCAACCTCTCGTGCTCTCCAGAATGTGTTGGAGGATCCCGCCGGATATACCTGAACTTTTTAAGAGCACGTCTTTCTCGTTGGCGAATAGTTCCCAATCTCAAAAGCGTAGTAATTCTGGAGGATATATATTTTTCTACTTTAGCACGTAATACTCTTGGCACAAATAAAGTCAAAATTTATTATGAATAATACGCAACAGGAAACCTCTTAAGTAGCAGTTTGCCACCCAGTTGGGATTGGCTAACAAAGTATCAAGTCAGTACTCAGCCTAAATAGGTGCAGCAATACTGCTGCCCAATGAGCTTCGAAGGCACGTCTGTGCCTTGGTCGAATGCGCTGGTGGCCTCTTGAGTTGACTAAATGATGTGGCTGGCGGTTAGGCTAGCCGCACAGGTTTACTGGCTTCGGTGAAATATTCTGTCGTCGTTGCTATAATGATCACGAAGCAGAGGGCTCGGGTGCTGAAAACAGAGCCCGTGATGAATTAATATACAACCAGAATGGTCCTTTCAAATAACCATGGCCGGTCATGTAGAGTTTTTGAATCCGGCTCCCGTACTCAACTTCGCAATCGGAACTCGTCCACGCCAGGACGTATCAGCTACAACCGAAGACAAGTCTAGCACCTGCGCAGTCAACACAAGCACCACCTCTACTCAAAATCCCTTAGTCAGGCAGCAACTCATATCTACGCCAGAAGACCATAATCATCTGAGCCCGCTATCTATACTCGATGAATCTGCAGCTTTTGCCCATAGTTTTGGTGTCGTTTCTAACGGTAGCGGCAAGTTCGGGCGGGAGTCTGACGGTGTTTGGTTCCCCTTCTTCCCTCAGGACAGCATCACGCAGACCCAGCATGCTGCTGCCGACATACACCCTAGTCAGGAAATCAGAGACCCTGAAATGAGCGAGACAACGTCCCAAAATCGCAAGTCGGCTACGAAAGAGCACGACACGAAGATCTTAGGGCCTTCTCGAAGGACAAAGAATCAAGCACTATTCCAGCCTTCTTTAACCATAACCAAGTTATTTGCACCTCTCTGAATACAGCTTATCAGTACCAGGTTATACTGTGCAAAGGTGTGTAGTCTCTGTGTGGTCCCCACCGAGGTCAGGTAAACCTTTACAAAGGTACAATAACTTTTCATCTCTTATAATAGACTGTAGTAATTGAATCCTTCCGAAATCCGGGCTCATCTAGGTTACAAAACACCCGCAGGTCATAACAGCCTAGTTGTTATTTTATGACGAATACTTCTTCAATTTTGGCATGCTCGAAACATCCTCTGGCCTTCGAGATTGAAATTGGTCCTTCAAGTACCAGGGAAATATCAAATGTAGCCACCGGTAAAGAAGCTGAATAAGAGTCCGCATCGAGTCTGTCAGCTGTCTATAATCTTCCATTGTTGTGAGGGTATCTAAAGCTTCCGAGTACATGTCACCCAGTTTTGACATTTTGCCAAGGCCCAGATCTGCAAGGAATTCGAAATGATTGAAGGTTTCTGTCAGGAATGCGCGGGTTTGTCGAATCATCAACGGTAATGTCATTTCCTTGTATGTGGATATCGTCAAGAGGCGGGAGAAAATATGTGGTCCTAACGTGGATAGAAAGCCTTGAAGAAAGATGATCGTTTGCATAGAACTTCCTTCGCTGCCAGCCCTAGCCCTGGTTGCTCCTAGTCGGATGCTTCGAATCTCGTCGGGCTCTTCAGGTACTCGCAGACTAGCAATTTCTTCGTCGATTGTCTCTTTAGCTGACTGCCAGCTTCCGTCAAATTTTCCGTGACTCGGTAGTGATCTCTCTAGAGGTTGAAGAGGATTGTCTCCTGGTTTTCGGATTATTGTCTCAATGATAGTGGGCAACCTGATGCTAACTGTTTGCTCATACACAAGTTTCCCTAGTTCTGCCAGTTTTGGGAAATCTTCTTCCACTACTTGCGCGAATTGGTTGACGGGAGTACTCTCGGTAACTGCGCCGTAGCATATGCAGATTGATTGGCTCGTTGTGTTATAGTAGACAGTGCCCATCCGTCGCTCTACCATATTCTTTGAGGCAAGTGATATGCTTGGAGCAGGCATATAAATGGTCTCGCCTGCCACGACCACATGAAGGAGGAGGCTGCGGAGGGGTAGTACCGCAAGAATATTCTTGACAACGTCCGGGTTATCTTGAAAGAGTAAATTTATTCTGAAGGACAGCTCCGGCGTGGGGCCGGAGACCTCCAAGATATTCGATGAAGCTGCCATCTCTCTTCTATCACATTGGAAGGTTAGTGAGACGCGAAGTCAATGATTGAAGAAGCCTTACATCGAGTCGCTGTGACAATTTCGTTAGGAACGCGTCTTCTACACAAGTGCATTGAGGCAAGCGAATGATTCAGTCTCCGTTCAGGCCGTGAATCTAACCCCTACCCATATGTTCCCTCTCTTTGATATCGTTTTGATGTGCCTGTGGCCGGGACTATTATAGTGGCCCTGATAAGCTGCCTCGAGCCAGTTTGCGTCGAGTTCGTCGCCCAGAGCACTACTCACGATCGACCATTGCACTTAGCCTGCATTTCTATTCAGATCAAAATTGGTCGTATACATTGATATTTCTTTCATAAATCAGACTTCCTAGGACCGATAAAGATCGCCTGATTGACCGATCCGGCGCGTATGTGTAAACTGGCGGCATTTAGGACGAGATCCACCTTATCTTGGCGTCGGAGCAGGGCCGATTTAAATTACCCTTTGTACGCACGCTTTTAGTCGAGCATGTGCGACTATTAGACTAGTGCATATCTCCCGGCGCACTGAGATAGCAATCGCACAGTTCTGACTCGTGAAGGGTACACGCTTTAAATGGGCATACTTATTCATTTTCGAGAATCCCTCTACCTACTATAGTTTTAGGATTTACCAAAGTCTCTGGTTAAGATGCGGTTCTGTATCTCCCCAAATCTATTGGTACAACCATAACACTCTATATACTCCTATGTTGGCTAAACTCGGGAATCCTTCTCAACAAGGACATCTATAGCATGGATAGAGAGAACTAGTCACAAAAGATTGCGGCTTTATATTACTTGGATTTTGTCTAGGGATGATCTGACTGCCTGCTCTTAGTAGGAAACATCACCTAACATGGCACGGTGCACCACTATTACATTCGAAATCAGCGCCTGTCACTAGAGTACGAGAACCTTAATCGATAGTGGTGATCGTTTTATACATGACGCTAGACAAGTTCTTGCAAATATGTATATTACTGAAAAACATCTAAACAATACACGACGCTTCTGAGTCTATGATCCTTTGCGCTGAAAACAATGCCTTGATCTCTATGTGCTGTTACGAGTCCGGCTTGCCCCAGCCGCCTCCACCTGGAGTGTTGATCTGGATTCTCTCACCAGGTCTAAGATTTACGACCGCCTGTCCCCCTAGGTTGATTTTGTCCATACCACCTTCGCCATTCCACCTGAATACGTAGTTTTTACCGACACTCCCGGGCTCTCCACCATCCATACCATAAGGTGGGAAGACTCTACGCTCACTCAAAATGCTGGATTTCAGGGGAATTCTGGCTTCAACCTCACGAGTGATACCATCACCTCCATTCCATTTGCCACGGCCACCAGTTCCGCGATTGATTTCATGCCGGCGGACAATGACCTGTGTTCGTTTCTCTATTATTTCGGCATCTGTGATCTTCGTATTGGTAGAGTGAACATGCACAGCAGATTCACCATGCCAACCAGGCCCGGCACCGGCACCGCCGCCAATGGACTCGCCATAATTCCAGCCAGGCTCGATTTCACCTGTAGCTGGGTTGCGGCCGCCCATGCCCCAGCCAAAGGGACTAGCACAGCCTTGAAACGCAGCAACACGCTTGAAGGCGCGAAGAATGACATCGATGATGCGTTGGCTGGCAGTTGTACTTCCACAAATAGCAACTGATGGGGTGGGGTTGAGAATTGTTCCCTTAGGAACACGAATCTCGATAGGTGTAAGACATCCTTGATTCAAGGGGATTTCGAGATCGATAAGACACCGAACACTGTAGATAACCGCGGAATGCGTGACTGAGATAGGGCAATTGATGTTACCCCAGCACTCCGCTCCAGTACCATCGAAGTCAAACACAGCAGAACCAGTGTCAGGGTTGATAGTAATTTTCAACTTCAACTCAGTGCCATTGTCGAAGAAATCAGACGAAGTCAAACCGTCAGGATGCTCCTTCGCCATTTGTTTTAGGTATTTACGGACGGCCACCTCGGCATTTGCCTGGATGCCAGCCATGTATCGATGTACGACGGGGAGAGTGAACTCATCACAAAGTTTCTGCAGTAGAAGGATACCACGCTGGTTGGCTGAGATCTGGGCCTTGAGGTCGGAAATGTTGTCCTGGATTCGGCGGGTGGGACTGCAACCCGGGAAACTCCCAGCGAGCGCAAAAGCTTCGCGCACTTCTTTCTCGAGAAACTCGCCTCCACTGACGATCTTCATTGTCTTGACATTGAGGCCTTCCTCCCATAGTTCCTTAGAATCTGGCATCATTGAAGTGATGCCCTTTCCGCCGATGTCAGTATGATGACCTCTGCTAGCCGTATAAAATGCAATTTGATTGTTGACAAATACCGGCGTGACCACGGTAATGTCAGGCAAGTGAGTGCCACCCCACTCTGGATGGTTTGTCATGACCACATCACCAGGTTGCAGCTTACCAAGCCAGTGCCTGTGTTGTGACTGGATAGCCATCTGCATGCTTCCTAAGTGAATAGGGATATGAGGTGCATTAGCCACGAGCTGTCCGTCCGGCGAGAAGATCGCACATGAGAAATCAAGTCTTTCTCTAATACTAGTAGAGATAGACGTTCTTTGTAGGGTGTTACCCATTTGTTCAGCAATCGACATAAACCGATGTGCGAAGACTGATAATTGGATGTGGCTGAACTCATCTGCCGAGACAGCCTTCTGGACGAGTGAGGTGTTGAATTTCTCGATAATGACATGGTTGGATAATATGTACGCACGGAAATGCGGTTGGACTAGAATTGTTTGGGTTGCGTCGAGAATAAGAGCCGGTCCATCGACAATAGTTTCTTTAGGAACATCTGCTAAATGATAGATGTTTGAATCCCTCCATGCTCCGTCCACATACAGCCTTTGTTGCTCTGCAGAGGGGGCTGATACTGGCTTGGACTTGACGCGACCTAACTCCTTGGTTGGGGCTATGCTCTTGGTTACAACACCGGCACTTCCCGTACCACGGACTTGTACGGAATCGATCACAATAGTTCGTCCAAGAACAAAGGCGAACTCGCGCAGATGTTCTGCAATGAAAGCTGCTCCGTAATCCTCATCTACTGGCTTTGATATCGCCAGAGTTGTGTCGGTACCAAAGTACCGCAGGCTAAGAGACTCATCAAATTGCAGTGATATTTCGTTGGCTCCTTGTGCAATGAGCTCATCGCGAACCTTTTGCTTGAGGCTCGCCATACGCTCCCGTATACGAGGCAGCTCTTCCATCGTGAAGTTGCCGGCGTAGGGCTCGGATGTGTCAAATTGAAGTTGAGACTGAGAGATGCCGTAGGCTGACAACAGGGACGACCACTTGTGGATGATGATGCGATTAATTCCGAGTTTATCTGCGATAGAGCATGCATGTTCTGAGACTGTTAGTTGAATACCTGTGATATGAGGAGCGTCTATACTCACGACCGCCAGCTCCACCAAAACTAACAAGGTTGTGCTTCTCCGGAGCATATCCTCTTGCCTCTGTAAATCAGTTAGTCCCAGTTCGTTTCAGGTACAGATGTATGAAGATTTACCGGTAGCGTTTCGGATTGGTCTGCTCATCGTTTCATTGGCAATGTTCAAAAAGCCAGCAGCAACCTCTTCAGGAGTCAGGGCTTGGGAGGTCTGGGCATTGAACTCTTCTGTAATTTCCTTGAACTTTTGCTTGACAACTTCAACATCGAGAGGTTCATCGGCGTTCTTCCCGAAGATTGCGGGGAATGAAGAAAGATCAAGACGTCCAAGGAACAAATTGGCATCTGTGACAGTGAGAGGACCCCCATTTCTGTAACTCGCTGGTCCGGGGTAAGCTCCGGCGCTTTCAGGACCGACTACCAGCAGTCCATTCCTTGCGAACAGGATCGAGCCGCCTCCAGCAGCAACGGTCTGAATATTAAGCATGGGCACAGTGATCGAGCGATCCGCAATGCGGGACTCAGAAAGATAGTCGTATTTGCCATCAAATCGAGAGACATCAGTGCTCGTGCCGCCCATGTCAAATCCGATCAGTGCCGTAGGTTCCTCCTCATCGAAACATGCCTTAGCAATGCCGACGACACCGCCTGCCGGACCACTGAGCAAAGCCTCGTTACCGCGGAACTTTTGGGCCTGTTTGAGACCACCGTCTGAGCACATGAACTCGACACGCTGGGGCAGTTTCTTGAACCCACTCTCGAAGTTTTCTACGTATCTCCGGATGACCGGGTATAGGTAGGCTTCCGAGCATACGGAAGTGCTTCTTCGAAGGTACTTCACGACTGGGCTTGTTTCGTACGACGTGGTGATGTATTGGAAGCCAACCGCTTTGGCTAAAGACGCAACGAGGTTCTCGTGGTCTGGATACAGATAAGAGTGGATTAGGGCAATGGCGATTGAGGTGTATCCTTCATCTCTCAAAGCCTGAAGCTGTGTGCGGACTTCATCAACATTGACTTTCTTGAGAATCCGGACGATTTCTCCACTTTGAGTGCGAACAAGATCTGGATCAGTAATGGCGGCTTTCTTGTCCACAGGAAACGGATTAAGGTCGTAATCTTCGACAGTGATGCGCTCGTCGATTTCGATGACCTTGTCGTGTAGAGCCTTGGCTTTTTCAACTCTTAGAGCAAATAGCTTAGGGCGTGTTTGATCATTGATCACACAAATATCTTTGAAACCTAAACGACAGGTTAGAGCTGGACTGGTAGGATCAATTAGACATGTACATACCCTTGGTTGTCACGAAGGCGAACTTCTCACCCTTATGTTCCAAAAGGGCATTCGTCGCAACGGTGGTGCCGATTCTGCAAGATGCTGAAACTTCCTGTTAGCTATCACTAATCCCACTACCCTAACCTTGGAATCATACCAATTCTAGATCCATCAAGCTTCTCGCCAATAGGGATATGACGACCTTCGGCAATTTCCAGGACTCTGCGTATCGCTTCGGTCGGCGCATCAGGGTAATTATTCGGGTCTTCCGAGAGAAGCTTCAAGATGATATTTTCCCGGCCTTCAATCTTAGCGATGACATCGCAGAAAGTGCCGCCACGGTCAATGGCAATAGAGATGTCGGGATAAGCCTCCGAGCTCTCTTCGGGCACATTACCAATGAATGGAGCCATTGTTGCGATGTTATTGACAATGGGCTTGAGCTTGAGGCATGTGCATGGCCATGGAGAGGACGGACGACCGAGATAAATAAGTCGAAATGCATCTTCACAGCTCAGCGAACAAATTGCGTGTTGTATGCCCCACTACGATTGTGGTTCACCGTGGGGCGATTCAAGGTCTCGATAATAGATAAGTTCCAATAGGCTATGGCCGAATCAGGAAGGTTTGGGCGTTGAAAATGCCGACATGGCTCGAAGCCAGGGTTTAGACAGTGGCGAATCAGGAGCCGAGCATACCTGTAGTGCAGAAACAGCAAAAAGTCTCGGGTGTACTCCCGACATGACTCCGGCAACAATGCCGAATTCGGACTTCAAGAATGACATCGAGATATCAACACGCCAATGTAATAGACAGCACTCAAAATAGGTCTTTCCTCCGCCATCCTTCTCCGACATCTAAGGTCTTGTTGGATCTTCCAATAACGGTAATGTAAGTCGGAAACGTAAAAATAGCCTCGAGCGATAAGCCTGACTTAGGAACAGATCGACGAACACCGTAACAGAAGCAAGCACAGACCGCCACTGCTGCAAAGCCAGGTGCATTTGACTGCTGTAGCAGTCCTTCTCGGCATACTGTCTCACAGAGTGTTTGAATTGTTTAATAAGCGACTTAACATTTCTGTATTTGTTCGGACGCGGCATAGCGTTCGACCTATGAGCTTCTACCTTGAGTTTCATGTCTTCTACCTGAGTACTCATTGTCTCCATAGAGAAATGTTGGAATAGACTTGATGTCACGGAGTCTAAACCTTTCGCAAGGTCGAGGGCCGTTTCAAGTCAGCTTTCACAGGTTGCGACCGTTCAGTGTTGAATAAACTGGCTCAAGAGTGACTACGGGAGCCTGACGAAAGCCGGCTGCGCACCGACACTTCTCCAAACAGTAAGTAGTATCGGAACTAGGAAAAGTTCCCATAATATGAACATATCGGTCTACTTAGTGTCATTCGGACTCCAAAGCGCGCAGATAGACCATACCTGGTGATTACTGTGCGGTGGTACTCCGCGACAGAACCTGGGCGGGTGAATTGCCACTAAGAAATTCCTGTTTGGGCAATGCAATCAAAGCGGCATGTCGATGACTCGTGCGCCGTCCGAACAACCTATACGACTCTTATGCTTATCTGCGGAGACATTTGTGGGGTTCATCTGCACCATTCCTTTTCGTCGCGTTGGGAATAAGACCATTTGCTTCAAAACGGCGAGACCTTATCATCTCGAGCCATGAGCTCCAAGAGAGGGCTGTGATACTTAAAGAGGCGCTGAGCGAGCGTCGTCAGAACAGGGGAGAAGACAACCTTCATCAAGTCTTTTCAGGACTGCGCGACAAGTCTCGCCTCGGTTATCACTGTTTGCAATTCTTGTTCATACTTCAGTACTTCCCTTTGGTGTCGTTTGTCGCCATGTCAGGCAAAACTGCTGAGACCAACTCGATGATTAAGGACGAAATGCAAGTGGACGCGAGCCGTCTCAAGTCCTTTGACGATGTCACAGAAACTGGAGAAGGTGGTGACAACCGAGAGAAGAACACTCTCGGCAAGAAAATCTTGCGAGTCATCTGGGACTCACTCGACAAGTCTCCCGAGGAGCGACACTTCATCGCCAAGGTAGACTGCTGGATCATGACCTACGTCTGTGTTGCCTATTTCGTCAAATATCTTGATCAGACGAATGTAAGAACCCTTAAATACTTACCGACTGCCAAGTTCGTCGTTGCTAATTTTACTTTACTCTAGGTCGTAAATGCCTACGTCTCCGGAATGAAGGAGGACCTGACCATGTCTGGCAACGACTACAATTATCTCCAGACCATGTTCACCGTGGGCTACTGTTTAGGAAACCTTCCGTCACAGTTGATCATGACAAAGATTCGGCCTTCCATTTGGCTTCCTTCTCTCGAACTCATCTGGAGCGTTCTGGTCATGGCTATGGCTGGAGTCAAGTCTGTTAATGGCATGTACGCTCTCCGCTTCTTCATCGGCATGCTGGAGGCGTCCGCCTACCCGGGTATCATCACACTTCTTGGCAACTGGTACACGCCTGCTGAGCTCGGGAAGCGGTCTTCTATTTTCATTGCCAGCTCTGCCGTTGCGCAGATGTTCTCTGGTTATCTGCAGGCTGGTCTGTACCATGGCATGGATGGCAAGCATGGTCTTGCTGCATGGCAGTGGCTATTTATATTCGACGGCATTATCGGTATTCCTGTTGCCCTCTTTGGCTTCCTTGCGCTGCCAGATCACCCGGGCAACTCCAAGGCTAGATGGCTGAAGCCCGAGCAGAAAGCTATTGCTATCGGCCGCATGGAAAGAGTTGGCCGTAAGCCACCTAAGAAGTTGACTTGGGCCACTCTCCGCGACATCTTCACTTCATGGCCCGTGTATCTTTTCTGCATTCCCTTTGCCTCTCAGTTGCTTGGAAACCGTATCTACAACTACTTCACCATCTACCTCAAGAGCACTGGTCGCTACTCTGTGGAACAAGTCAACCTGATTCCAACCGGCGGATTTGGCTTCCAGGTTGTCACTACACTGATCTGGGCCTGGTTGAGTGACGCCACCGGCAATCGAGTGCTTTCGATCTGTCTTGCAGCGGGTGTTGCTCTGATCGGCACCATCATTCTCAGCATCTACCCCGAGAACAACCACAGCGCCATGTTGGCGGGCTGGATCCTCACGTATGCCCAGATGGGAGCGTCGGCTCTGATGCTCAGTTGGATCAACGAGCTTCTGTCTTTCTCGACGGAGCACAGACTGGTTGTTATTGGTGTTGTCGAGACATTCGGCTTCGTCATGAACGCCTGGGTGATTCTGCTTGCCTACAACAGTGGTGAGGCACCTCATTTCAGTGTTGGATACTACATGGCTGCCATGTTCTTTGCCTTGGAGATTGTGTCTATCTTGTTCATTGCCTTCTGTGCAAAGAAGTGGAAGCCTCATCCCAGAGTGGAGTCTTGAATCAACTCAGCAAGATGATCGAATGATTGCAAAGGAGGAATGTCTAGGTACTGGCTGGGCTCATAGAGAATAAAAGGCATCAGACAACTGCTGGCAAAGGCGGTCTACAGCTTTTGGTTGTACCTGTGGTTGACAGATGATTAGCAAGTAGCGAAATGTTAAGAACATGAGCAAGATGATACACAAATATCTATGGGCCAGTGCCTCCCTATTCTTCAGTCATTATTCTTAGGTGACACCGGGTGACATGAGGTATTCGTCAGTGCTTCTCCTCAACACTGTACAGGCTAGACAATATATGGTCTCTCACTATCTCCATGGACTTTGCCTTCCGTCGAGGTTAGATATCAAGGTACCGCATTGACAATGTCTCGACTGTCGGTGGGCTATTCGTCTCCACTGGAAGACGCAGTAGCGCCACCTGCAAACGCCCACACGTAACTAAAAGATAAGGCTCAGTTGCCCCAAGATAAGGCACGGGTCCACTACCGTACGCAGTACGCCCTAAATCCATCCCTAGCCCAAGCACCCCACGTTTCTGTCTTCCCCTTTTACACTTCCAGCTGCACCAAAGGATTCTTACCCACGACGCCTGCTCCATTAAAGTATATGCGGCTAAAGAACCGGCCCAAGCAAGTCTATGGAAGTGAGCTTCTCTTGAGGGAGGCTTTATTAATACGGCCCATAGAGCCGTGGAACTGGTTGTTGGACTAGCGTTACGAGCAGTCCTGTTCAGCACTCTTCGGCTGATATCTGGCACCGTCATCTTCATCCCTTGCAGATCTTCTTCTCCCTGCACCAGATCGAGAGATGACGAGCCCGGTCCAAGCAATGCAGGCTCACATGGACCGCTTCCGTGTGAGGCTATCGACACATTCCACAGCGGCCAGTCCTCCAAAGTCCTTCAAGCACCAAGCTATTCCGGGCGCGTCGGAAGGGACTGTTCGAATTACTGCATGCGATCGCTGCCGGCACTTTAAGAAGAAATGCAGCAAAACACCACCTGAATGCGCCTCTTGTGTAGCTGCCGGGCTGAAATGCTCACTAGCCACCATCACCTCAACGAACCCGGCGGACCTGCGGTCTCGTCTGGCGTGGATGGAGAACTTCATCAACCAGAGACATCTGCTCGGCCGGGACCATGCTATCGAACATATAGCCACAGGCACAGACCTTTCAGAGCTTGCTGATCAGCAGACCGGTTCGGTCGGCGTCTCCCCGGCGAGTACTTCTGTCGATGGCCTGGGCACTCGAGATGCTTCCTTTCGCTCAGGAAGACCGCTAGATGACGACTCAACCATCATAGAGAATAGCAGTAATGACGGGCCGTCCCCGAAACGAAGGCGGCTTGATGGCACCATTTCGGGCGATGATTCCCGAGACAATCGGGCTGTCCAACATCGTCCGGAGCGTGCACATGATCAGCTTGGTCGAATCTTCGTTGACGCCTATTTCCGAGATGTGAACCGTGCATATCCCTTCGTTGATCGGGCTCGGATCATGTCGACTTTGAACTCGAAAGGCGGGCGCGTCTTTTCGATCAGGGAACAGCGTGATACTGATTCCACAATGCTCTACTTGGTCATGGCCATTGGCTACACGACTCTGCAACGCGCCGGCCAGGTGCCTGTCAATGCCGATACTAATTTTGAAGTAGAGTACAAAGACATACTCGCTGAGTGCTTGGTTCCTGAAAGCACCGATACAGTACAAATTCTTCTTCTCCTCGCAATTTATTCGGTGTCAGATCCGCGTGGATTTTCTACCCGTGCAATAGTGGATATGCTCGCTCGCCAGGCCATCCGTCTTGGTCTCACTCGAAGGGACCTCGCCGACGAAGGGCTGCTTCCAGCGGAGGCTGAGCGAAACCATCGCTTGTTCTGGAGCATCTATGTCATCGACCGGATGATAGCAGCTTCGACAGGTATGGCATGTGCATTGAATGATGTTAACATGAACATGCCTTTGCCGGGAATTACGGTGGACGAATTTGCTTCACCCGACTGCATGGAGTACACAACCATGTTGCAGACAGCTCGTCATGTCATTCAACTAAGGAAATTGGAGGACAAAGTGTTGCATCGAATCCACCTACGAGACAGGATAGCGACTACTTCTCTCACCCAATTGGATCGGCGTGCGATTGCCATGAGCCTTCGAACAGAGATTGAAGATTGGTATAGCAACGGCTGCCTCCTGAAGTCTGCTGAAGTTGACGACGTACGGATTCATATCACCATCTCATGGCTTGCCGCTCGCTATTACAATCTCCTCCTTCTCCTATACTACCCTTCTCATTTCAACCCGACATCCTCACTGCTATCAAAAGCAGAGCTCGCTTCATTAGCGCAGAAACACGTTCAAGCCAATGCTGTGCGTTTTCAGCATCGACAACTACCGCTAAATCACATCACGCTGTGCCGACTACTACCAGTCTGCATGATATTTCTCCACTGCTTCCATTGTCGTGGGCCCAATGACCCCCCTCTCAATATCCGCGAAGAAGTCTCTATATGCGCAGATATGATGGAGGCCTTTCCTGCACACTGGGCTCAAGCGCACAGGGCCGCGGCTATCGTCCGCCAATTAGCATCATTGGTCTCTACTTCCCTGACCTACGATCCAGTACGCTTTACCTCGACGCATGCTTGGTCTCGAAGCGAGTCAGATCGGGCATGGTGCCATGCCATCAAGCTCAATCTGACGGAGCTTGCGGAGCAGATTATCGGCAAAGGGAGTGCATACAGGCTCTTGGAGGAGGGGGAAGATCCCGGCGTGGCTGGCGTCGTCGAGCGGTCCTTGCCCAATGGACCACTGCCGGTGGGACCTCAGCAGATTCCTGGACTGGGAGAGCCCGTCTCAAATCGTGGCCCGTTGCCAGCCGAATCTAGCTACGGGCTGGAGCCCCCGATACATGATGGGAATGTCACTGATAACGGTTTCTCTATCATGGATTTTCTTTGAAGATAGAGCCTTCGTTTCTGCGACGTGCAGGCCTAAGAATTATTCAAGACGGCGGCTCTTTTCACTGCCTGAAGAGTCAGATGGACTCATGAATATAAAAACCTTTGAGCTCGAAGGAGGGGCCATGTCTATCGCTATTCTCGTCGATGGCAATAGCTCATGGCTCTGTCCATCTCTCTCAACCGGGTTAGCTTAGAGCTTAAATGACGCCGCAGATGGTGGAGTGCCATTGAATTGTCTTCATACTATAAGGAGATGAACGCGTAGGCCTTGTTGATCGAGCAGGGCCGACGAGTTCCCAACAGACTTGCGAATTGGTAATGAAGCGATTTGGCCGGATAAGGAAATTGCGTCTCGATTCGTCATATGTACATCGGCGATACTCCTGACACACAGAGTTTAGTTTCCAGGCTCTGCCTCCGATGATGTTTTCAAGAGATGTCACATTGTACGGAGTCGGTGCAAAGCTTCAACAAATGAAATGTCTTGCTCGCATGCCTAAGTGAGCACCGATACTAAGGACAGACCCAACGTGAAATGTACGATTTAATAGCTACATTTGAATGATACATGCTCCTTTACTTTGTATGTGCCCCAATGCCTTGTTCTTTCACATGCCCTAACACCACCAATAACAAAGCCCCTAGGTTGGATTGCACCAGTGTAAAGGTGACCAACTGAGATCTAGCCTCCAATTTTACTTGGCAGTCTGCGTCACGATTGGCCCACCAGTAGTTGGGAATGCTACAGGTGTGCTCAAAGCATACAGGTCAAACATCTTCGGTCCTCCACAGTAGTTTGCGGTTCCAGTGGATACTGATACGGCACCATTGGTAGTGATGGTGGTTACACTGCCATAGCAGTAATCGCGACAAGCTTTCGTCCCCACCAGCGAGGTGACTGCTGCTCCCTTGAAGTCGAACGTGCTGCCTCCGTAGCACTCGTGGTGATACTCGAGGAACACGTATGGCAAGCGAGTGGTTGGTGTTGGGCGAGCTGCTGCTACTGAGTTGGCGTGTGCAATGCAAAGTTCTGGTGTCATGCTATTATTGCTGACAAGTGCCGGGAGAGCATGACCTGATGCATTATCCTGGAAGCAGCCAACATAGTAGTAACCGTTTGTTGCTGTGGCTGTTGGACCGGTAAGCACACTACTTGACGACGACGACGTAAGAGAGCTTGTCGTTGTGGCCTCGGTTGACTGAGGAAGGGAAGACGTAGACAATGACGAAGATGCCAATGAGCTTGATGAGCTTGATGCTGGATCTGATGTTGTTGTCGTGGCTTGCGTTGATTGCATGGTCGAAGAGGACGACGGTAACGAGGCGACAGGATCCGCTGAGCTTGATTCTAAGCTCGAGGATGTTGAGATCTCCACCGTTGAGGATGAAGTAGACTCAGAAGACTGTTCCGAAGAGGATGAGACATCCGACGAGCTTGTGGTAATTAGTGACGATGATGAACTTGGTGAAGTTGTGGGAATTAGAGTCACGTCAGAAATCGAAGTTGAAAACGAAGATATTGTCGTGGATGGTTGCGTGAAGCTGTCACTAGATGTTGAAACAGCACTTGAAGAGAGTGTGCTCGTCTCGGTAGTGCTGGAAGTCTCAGTTGAGACCGGCTCCACGACTGATGTGGTGGAAAATGTGGCTGTTACTGCAGATGAAAACAGCAGGCTCGAGCTCAATGAAAATAGGCTGGTCGTGGTAGATGACGCTGCAGGGACGAATGAATAGAGATCTAATCGGCTGCCAGCTCCACAGTATTGGAACTAGACCCCATTAATGTGGTTCAGTCAGAGCATGAACGGGTGAAAATACCTGATTTCCTTTGCAAAGCGTGCTACATTCACTCAGCGGAGCTGCTACGGATCCCTGGCCCGTTGAATTGCCACAATAGCCTGGAACATTCTTAGCATAGATATGAAACGGGTTGTTGATCGGCGTCGACTCACACTCTCGTCCATATTCAACTCCCATCATCAACCACCCGTTCGCAGCACAGTATGCAGCGCAGGTATCAACGGTCATAGAGTC